TATTCAATACACTAATATGCTGGTCCTCGTTTTCAGCCTCTGACGCTTTTCCAGAGATCTCTGACCACCATGCAGATCCAGATCCAGGGTTTACTACAGTTTGCCGTGCCGCTTTTCCCCACAGCGGAGGTACCCCCCCTCACCCTCAGAATCCCCCAAGCACACACACTCACACGTACGCATTTGGCATCAGCAGCGATGTCTGTCTCCGCAGAGAGATCTGGTGGGCATCCAGCGTGTTCTCAACTCGTCTGAGGTCAGCCTGCACCAGCTGACCGCCTTGTTAGACTGCAGGGGGCTCAACAAGGTGCGACAATGCAAACGACAAGCCAGGAGGGCGGCGCGTGTAAACGTAATCATATGGACCGTCTGCATATTTTTTCAGGACTACCTGGACGCCATGGTGGGCGTGTGTTATGACGGCGTGGAGGGCGTGCTCTACCTGTGCCTCTTCTCCGTGCTGGCAGCTTGTGCCTTCACCATCATGCTCTGCGCCATTCCGAGAGCGTGGAGACAGATTGCCAGCAGGTCGGTGTGCCGTCTACATGTCAGTGCAAACGTACCAAAAAATTGCATGTTAGAAATAAGCACAACATATTCCACAGAATGTCCCCCACTTCTCCCCCACAAAAAACAGTCAGGATTGTACATATCATCTGATTAAAGTGATTGCTGCTCTCCCCAATTATGAATCGAACTACCCCCCCCCGCCACCCTCAGTGAGCAGGACTACGACGACATGGACGAGGAGGACCCCTTCAACCCGCGACGCAACCGAATGGGCTCGCAGAACCAGAACCACACCACCGTGCACAGCTTCTGCAGCTACAGCAGCAGCATGGGCAGCCAGAGCAGCCTTCAGCCCCCCGCCCCTCCACTCTCCAGCACCCCCATGGGCGACTACATGTGAGCGCGTCAAAACCGCACACTTTGTTCATGATGCTGGTGTTATCTGACTCGTTGGCAGCGTGTTTTTACCCAGGAACCAGACGGCTCTGTTCGGTGGGAATCCTCGTTTCGAGAACGTGCCTCTGATTGGACGAGGCTCGCCGCCACCTTCGGTAGGTCGGGTCCTTTGTGTGAGCGTCGTTTAGTCTTCTACCCTAAAAAGTCAGCAAGTAGGCCCTTGACGTTTTATTTATTTTGTACCGCTCCCTTGCACAAAAAGAAATAAGCATGACGACTAGAAATAATCCGCAGAGTCTAAAAAATTGTCACACGTCCATCACGCAATATATGCGTGTATGACAAATTAGTTAGCTCCGTTTGCTGGTTCTTCAAAATAACCACGACCTTGCACAAGTGAAATAAGCACAACTAAAAATAATCCACAAAGGCACGAAAGTTTGAGTAATTGTACACTGAGGTCACTGTTCTCACTTGTTGCTAGGCAGAATTCACGCTCCCCCAATGCCTGATACAAAAACCTGCCTGATACAAAATATATCTCACTAAACAACAGAAATAACATTTTGTAGCATATTAATTCCTTGATTTCACCTCTTCCCGAAAGGGACAAGTCGTCCTTTTTCGTGCAAGCGTACAGATGGAAGCGGAGGGGAAGTAACGTGGTTAAAATTTCATGGCAACTTGAACATCGTTTAGCGTCAAACTCCCCCGGGAGATGACGACAATGAAGGCAACGCAACCATTTATTTTTTTTTTTTGAATTCCTTAAACTTGAATAGACTCAGCGCTGGGACAGATATAGCAACACTGTTTTTCTTTTTTTTAGTCACGGTTTTTCAAGCCAGAAAAGAAGTCCATTTTTCATGCTATATTGCTTTTTTTTGCGTGCTTTCTCGATACCATTTTGCTTTGCTTCTCTAAACGGCGCTGCTTTGTGCTCATTGCTCTTTGGCTAACAGCTTCTTTTGCTTATTTTTGTATTGCCTGTTTGTCCGTCATTTCTCTTCTTCTTCTTCTTCTTCATTTATTTCAATCAACTTTTGAAGATATACTCTCAGCCGTATAGAACCCGAGTAAGTCTTCTTTTCATTCAACTCTTTCATCCCTAACTTTTCCCAATGCCTTCCTTTTTTAACCCCCTTGCATGGCCACCGGGGGGCGCTGTACTTTGCATGACTGTCACGCTATTGCTATTATGTTATTATATTGCCTAAGTTTCACGTGGATTCATTTAAATGTATCTGTTGACGAGCTGAGAGGCAGTAAAGTGTCTGCCTGCTTTGAATGAGTAAAAACGTAGCGCCATCTGGTGGACTAATATATAATTAATGTAGCGACCTCTTGTCCAAATTGAAATATGTAATATGAAGGATTTCATTCGTTTCTGTTCAGGTAAATGTGGAAACGATTTCATTTTTTTCCCGTGTGCAGCATTGTCATATAAGGCTAAGTCATTTATTTATTATATTCATTTTTATTTCCTTAAGCAGGTTTCAAATAAGATGAAATTGTTCTTTTTTTTTTTTTGGAGTTGTCAAGATGTTAAAAATAAATAAATAACAGTTTACATAATATAGACCAAATTGGAAATTTAATTTGATCCAACATATTAATTATTATAAGTTGTCCATAAAAATTGGCCCATAATCTTTAGTTTAACTAGTTTAACATGGAACTCTTGATCATTTTT